CGAGTGAAGTAATATGGTGATTATTGAGAATTCAAAAATGCCAACTTCTGAAGGAATGGAAACAACATCAAAGAAGCTGCAGCTAGAAGTTCAACTGCTCTTAAGGGACAAGTCGATCCAAATCATCCTCTCTTCATCTATCCATCTGATACTCGAGGTGTAGCTCTAATTTCTACTTAGCTAATTGGTACTGAAAACTATTCTCTAGGATCAAGTACATGCGTATTGTGTTACTAGGAAAGAACAAGCTAGGTTTTCTATTAGGGAAATGTAAGAGGGAATCATTTTGTGCTAGTCTTCATAATCTTTGGGAGAGATGCAATGCTATAGTTCTAGCTTGGATAATGAATATTGTATCCAAAGATTTGCTTAGTTATGTTATCTATGGATATGATGCTCATAAGGTGTGGGAGGGCCTCATAGAAAGGTTTGATAAGGTAAATGTTTCTAGAGCATTCTATCTGCACCGGGAGATAGCCTCACTATCCCAAGGCAAAAGTTCAGTACCAACCAATTAGTCTAGGTTAAGGGAACTTTGGGATGAACTTGATGCTCTCATACCTCCTTTATCTTGTGCTTGTCCTGAATCTAGAACTTATACTTAACATTCTCAATTGCAAAAGTTGTGGCAGTTCCTTATGGGATTAAATGAGTCTAATGCTCATGTGAGAAGTCAAGTATTGATGATTGCACCTCTGCCTAATGTTAATCAAGAATATGTCATAGTTTTGAATGTTGAAAGTCAGAGAACCACTAGAGTAAGCTCATCTAGAGGAAGCTTAGATCCAACTGCTTTCCTTAGCAATAGGGGATATCAAAATTATTCAGGAGGCTCTAGTTGTGAATATCGGAATTCCTGAGGTTCTAAGAATGTATATTAGAACAACAGCTCATTCAATAAAGGCACCACCTACAAACCTAGGGAGAGCTTTGTTGAATAGAGAAACAATTATGGAAAATCCAATCTCTATTGTGACTACTTTCATTGGAAAGGTCGTAGAATTCTCACGCCTAGGATTAGAGAAATCACATATTGTAGTGATTATTAAAATTATCGAGTACATACTCTTTATATAAGAAGTAAATTGTAGAGTCCTAAGCTAGATATATTTAGATTCCTACTACAATAACTATTATTGCTATAATAATACTGCAATTATAAATAATCTAATCATAGTCGTAATTAATCTTAGTCAAATTCAGCTAGTACAAGAAGTGGCAGCCTAGCCGATATAAGTAGCCAAGTCCTAGTGTTACTCAACTCTGTTGTTCACGTTTATTGGACCAAGTTGTTCAACCTGTTCCATATATTCAGTTTTCGTTATCTTTAACACTTCCCCTTAAGTTAAAGAGTGGAGGAATGGTTACTCCTAGCTTGCTTAAAAAACCCAGAAAAAACTTATTTTGTCAATGCTTAGGTATGAATGTGATGTCAAGTCGTTGCTTGTAGTAGTTGAGCAGATTGATACGAGTAGTCCCACCTATAAAAACAGAGTAGTATGGTTATTCCTACCATAGATTTGACATGCCTCAGTATTGTTCCTCTCCTTATTTCCACTTGGGAAACTTTGATTGTTTGGAGAACCTAGTACATATTGATTGTTTTGAGAACCTGTTATGTGTCCTACATGCTTGAAGCCTCTTTCTCTGGAATTAAAGTTGTTGGTTTCTCTTCCCCGCCCCTTTGGGCAGAGAATACCATGTTCTGGTTTTGTTGTGACACATTATCTTCATCTTCCCTTATATCAAAACCCCTAAGAGCATTAACAAATTGATTAAGGGTGGGATATGGTGTCTTACCTAACATGACAGTCTTGAAGGTTTTGTACTTGAGGCCTAAACCTCTAGAAAAATCAACTACTTGCTATCTTCATCCACAGGTTTGTGAATGGCTGCAAGACTATCACATATGCCTTTGAATTTCTTAATGTATTCATCAATCTTTTTGGTTCCTAACCTAACACTTTGTAGTTGTTGTTTGAACCGAAACTCCTTATATTTTGTTACTTGAAGATAAGCTTCTTCCAACCATTCCCATACATCCTTGGCAATTGAGCAGCCCACAATTAGGTACAGGTTTTCTTTTGTCAAGGTTCCTGAGATCCAACTCCTTCGCAACACATCTTTCTCCTCTCAATCATCAATGTTGCCACTATCTTTTGCATCCTTCGCAACCGCTACAGCTTTTCCAACAGTCTGTCTAGTAGAACAACCATTTTTAGTTGGTTCATTCTCTATGATATGATAGATTAGTCTCATCACCTAAATCTATTGGGATATTTGTGCCCTCCATATGAGATATTTTGTTGGCTTAAGTTTAATGGTGCAAGCGGCAATGAGGTGGCGAAGTGAGGAAATGGACAGAGTGTTGGTAGAGGCGGCCATTGCAGTTGAACTTTTTTTTTTATCAATACTCAGAGAGTGGAAGTTCTTATGTGCTCCGATACTATGTAGAATTCTCACCTAGAGAAATCAATGATTGTATTGATGATTAAAATTGGCGAGTACATATTCGTTACATATGGAGTGAATTTTATAGTCCTAAACTAGCTATACTCAGAATCCTACTACAATAACTATAATAATATTGTAATTATAAATAATCTAATCCTAGTAGTAAACTAATCCTAGTCGTCTTCAACTAGTACAAGAAGTAACAGCCTAGTCGATATAAGTAGCCTAGTCCTAGTGTGAATCTAACTCCATTGTACACGTTGATTGGATCAGGTTGTTCAACCTATTCCATATCTTCAGTTTCTTTTATGTTCAACAAAGCTCACAGTAGAGATATGTTACAGGCTTTATGGCTATCCAAATGGCAAGAAGAAGAGTGAAACTCCTCGAAAATACGCTAGCAATGTTTCTACAACTGGTGTGAATCATGTTTACTCATAGGCTCGTAGTACTACTGCTCCTGCACCACCTGCCTCCCACATTCATATGTCTACAGTGCCAGTGGTCACTCCAGATCAATACAATCAAATACTCTACTGCTGAAGGGAAAAACTACTGAAACTACTGCCAGTATAGCAACTTCTCCTAATTCCTTAGGTATTATAAGTACTGCTCTTATGTCTAATATGACTAATAACAGTTTGATAGTTGACACAGGTGCTTCTAATAATATGGTTCACAATTTGAATGTACTGAATCAGTGTAAGGAGTTGACAAACGGGAATATAACTAAGGTTAATTTGCCTACAGGAGGTCAAGTTTCAATCATTCACATTTGTAACTCTATAGTGTTCAAAGATAAAACAGTGCACATTGTTCTATTTATTCCAGAATTCAAGTATAATCAACTCTCAGTTTAACAACTGACAAAGTAACTAAGATGTGTTGAATTGTTCTTTCCTGACTTTTGTACATTTCAGGAACTCTTCAGTGGACAAGTTCTGAGGATTAATAGAGAAGAACACGGTCTTTATCTGTTGAAGAAAAGTATTGACAGGATCAAGGAAGACTCTATAGTTTCATCAAACTCTCTTACTTGTACTATTTCAAATAATGTCAACAATAGTTGTTCAAATTCTGTTGATTGTGTCACTTGCTTGTGGCATAAGAGATTAGGCCATGCTCCTCTTAGAGTCTTGAGAATAATAGGAAGCTTGAATCCTATGGAATTTCATGATGATCAATGTATTGTATGTCCTATTGTCAAGAAATCAAGATTACCCTCTCCTTCGAGTAACTCATTGCCACTTTGTGCATCTGACATTGTACATGTTGATCTATGGGGGCCTTACAAAGTTCCTAATCATCATGGTAAAATATTTTTTATGACTAGTGGATGATTTTTCTAGGTTCATATGGATTTTTTCAATGATAAATAAGTCTGATTCAATTGTTATTCTGAGAGATTTCATTGTGATGATCAAGAACTAGTTTGATGCATCTATCAAGTGCTTCAGAACAGATAATGGCACTGAATTCTGCAATTCTCAACTTCATAGTTTGTTTAAGGAGCATGATATTCTTCACCAAAGCTCATGCATTTACACCCTTCAGCAGAATGGTGTAGTTAGAGAAAACACAGGTTTATTCTTGACATGCCTAGAGCACTGAGATTTTAGGGGCATGTTCCATTAAGATTTTTGGAAGAATGTGAATCCATAGCTGTGTATCTTTTTAATAGTTTGTCATCTGTATCGTTGAATGGTCAATCACTTTTTGAAAGTTATACAATAGGATTCCTTCTTTACTTCATCTAAGAGGTTTTGGCTCTCTCTGCTATGCTACAGATGTGAGGAAAGGTGACAAATCCTATCCAACAATATTTTTACGCTATACTTCTTCCCAAAAAGGTTATATACTCTTTGACTTAAATTCTAATCACATGTTCGTAAGTAGAGATTTAGTGTTTAAGGAGGATATCTATCCCTTCAAAAATTTACCCACTTCTGATTCTGCTTATTTCCTGTACTTGATCTTCCTACTGATGATGATCCTATAGTTCCTAATGATCATGTGCCTCTTCCTACTCCTCCAACTGTGGTTGTTCCACCTGCAGATCCTATACAATTAGTTGAACTTGTTCCTCATCTACCAGTAGCACAACATGTTCCACCAATACCAAGACATTCTTCATGATCATCTAAACCTCCTGTATGGCTCACAAATAATGTAGTATCCACTAAGTCTGCTCATCATTGTTCCTATCCTCTTTCTCAGTATACTCCTATGATCAGTTGTCCCCTGCTTACAGAGCCTCTCTTACTTCCTACTCACCAGTGTCTGAACCCTCCTCATACAATGAAGCTTTCCATGATAAAAAATGGATTGCAGCAATGGATGATGAAATCAAAGCTTTGACTTTAGAATCTGACTTGGTCTATAGTCCCTCTTCCTCCTAATAAGGTTCCCATTAGGTGCAAATTAGTGTATCGAATAAAGTATAATTCTGATGGTCAAATTGAAAATATAAAGCTAGATTGGCTGTCACGGGGTATAGTCAACAAGAAGGCCTTGATTACTTAGAGACCTTCTATCCTATGGCCAAGATGGTCACTGTAAGGTCTATTATGGCTTTAGCTTCCCCTTGCAGTTCGTTTGTGTTTCAAAGGGATGTTCACAATGCATTCTTGCAAGGTGATCTCCTAGAAGATGTCTATATGCAGATTCCAGATGGTCTTGCCAACCAGGGGGAAACCAGATGGTTTGCAAATTAAACAAGCTATTATATGGACTATAACAAGCATCAAGGCAATGGAACCTAAAGATCAATGATTCATCACTTGATAAAGGGTTTGTTCAATCTCACTATGACTACTCATTGTTCACACAAAAGATTGGGGCAGATTTGATTGTTATCTTGGTGTATGTATGATTTCATGGTCACTTGTTCCAATCTTATTCTAATCTAACAGATAAGAAAAGACATACAAATGAGGTTCAAAATGAAAGATTTGGAAAGCTGAAGTACTTACTTGGCATAGATAAAAAGGAAATTATCATGTGTCGAAAAAAAATGACTTAGAGCTAATCTATGAGATGAGGTTGTCTGGAAGCAAACCAACTTCTACTTCACTAGAATTCAATGGCAAGCTTACTTCTGCTGACTATGATAGATGCATCAATGTGAACAAGGATGATAAATTACTATTTGAAGACTCTGGAAAGTATCAAAGACTAGTAGGAAGACTACTATACTTAACCATGTCCAGACAAGATATTGCCTTTGTGGTTCAGGTACTCAGTCAATTCATGCACTCACCTAAACAATCTCACATGGATGCAACACTTGGAGTAGTGAGATATATCAAAGGAACAACAGGTCTAGGTCTGTTTATGCCTAGTAAAACAAACAAAGAACTAGTTGCACGCTGTGTCTCAGACTAGGATAGCTGTGTGGAGACTAGAAGGTCTGTTACTGGCTATGTAGTAAAGTTTGGTCAAGTTGTGATCTCCTGGAAGTCTAAGAAGCATAATATTGTCTCAAGAAGCTCTGCAGAAACTAAATTCAGAAGCATGGCAACAACAGTAACTGAGCTAGTTTGGCTAAAAGGATTATTCTCAGAATTGGGAGTTGAAGTGACTTATCCTTTAAAACTATTTTGTGACAGCAAAGCTGCCACTCATATTGCTGCACATCCTATATTTCATGAGAGAACAAAGCACATTGAAATTGATTGTAACTTTGTAAGGAAAAAAAAAATACTTGGAAGGATTGATACACATTCAACATATAGGTACCAAGGAACAACAAGCAAATCTGCTAAAAAAGGGTTTGTGTAAGACACAACATGATATTTTGGTTGACAAGCTGGGAATGAAAAATGTGTTTTAATCCTCAGCGTGAGGGGGAGTGTTGAAGCTATGCAATTAAAGGAAAGCTAGGTGGTTAACTTAACAGGTTGTCATGTATTAGTTAGTCAGTTAGTTAGCTGTTAGTTAGAGTGGTCAGTTAGTTATTGATGGTAGATTAGAAAGAGTTGGTGGACTTTACTTACTTTGATGTCTATAAATATGAGTAGAGTAGAAGCAGTTAATCATCACTGTACATTTTTCTTCTTCTTCAGCTTCAATGGAACAATATTATCAATCTCTCTCTTCTTACAGTTCCCAGTAATGGAGCTTCTTAACATTTCTCCACACCTTTTTTTGTTTGCGAGGAATTTGTTTGTGTAAACCATAGAAGGAGACAGGAAAGAGAGAAAAAAAGCAGCTCGATTTCATCACAGCATTTCAAATATAATGGTTGCATGCATAAACAATTAAACACATCTAAACAACTGGATTCTTTTATTCCTTGTGCCAATGCAGCTCTTAGAAAGTGAAATTGAGTAATATTAAGAATTTAATATCTCTGGTTTATGGTAGTTCTTACCTGCTTTGAACTTGCATTTACAATTTACTCCAGTTTCCATTCTCATTTCATTTTAACTAACAAGACATTAATCATTTACAGCAAAGATTTAATGTACCCATCAACCAAAATGGCTGCTTGTCTTACATTTACAGAGAAAGACTAATCAAAATGACATGCTAAAGTTACAAAAAATAAATATTTAGATCATTCTCACAGAGTGATAGACCATTAATTCCAAATGCGAGATCACTACTATTAGCAAAGGAGCAATTCAATCAGATATATCCTTTGGAAAGCCAACAGGGACAGCCGAAAGGTTAGCTATGTCTTGGGAAAAGGCAATGAATCAATCTCCGTCTACCGTTTTAATACACTCCATTGTTCTTCTGAAGAAGCCAACTGATCCATGAAATCTGGACTGGTGAAGTAAAAATCCTTCGATTTTCTGTCATTTTTCCTGTTGAGTGAATTTTTTCAGTTACACCAATGAGACCAGAAAACAGGAGACAATTGTAGGGAACACATACCTGGTTTCTCTTTGTCTAGTGAGGAGAACTAATATACCAAACCCTACAACTAATGCAATGTTCATTACCTGAAAAATATGAACAATAACAAGTATTAGTCTCACCTTTGAAATTGTTCATCTTCTCTTGTGATCAAAGCAAAAGAGGATAATGCACTTCTGATGGTTCTACGATTGTCAGAACCATGCATTATATATCCATGATTTTCTTCAAAAGAATATATCTTATACATAATACTGAAGCAAAGATAAAGGATAGGGTAGAATTTCAAATTTTGCACCTAGATATAAAGAAAATGAGATGCATAGTTCAATTTTAAAGGTAAAGAGGCAAAACAAAAATATTCCGATCAAACCATTGTAGCGCTTAAGGAGGCTGTACTTCCCTAAGTTTACAGTTAGATAGCAGACATCCAAGTAAGTAGTATCAAAATGTATGAATCAAAATAATATGCATGTCTGACCTGTCTAACAGGCCCAGAAGAACCATTTTCTCCAAAGCTTTTGGACTGATTTCTTGGCTTTTGTGGCTTCTCTCTTCCTTTCTTTGTCATGGAGTCACTTCTACGGAAAAAACTACGCTGCTTCCATGCAAACAATAAAAACAGTTACCTTTGCAGAAACTTGTTCAAGGAAACAAAAATTTTCCTAGAGGGCCAAATTTTCTAGCAGTTAACTTTATGATACAATGATGACATGATCTTTATGAGGATTTGGTAGTACATTGTTGGTCAAAAAGATATACGTGATGAGTTTTCCATCAAATTTACCACTAAGGATAGTGGACTAACTTCTGGAATACTATTGAACCTTTACCTTCCCTGTACTTTCCTGCATAGAAGGTCTCTTATTACTTTGATGATCATCTACTCCAATGCGGCAATCTTCTGATAAATGCACTATGTTTTTGCCTGCACTTGTCATACATAGACGCTTTTTGTTATCCGGAAATATCCATGCACCAGAATTTTCAGTGTCATAAAGTTCATCTTCACGGCATGCTATTAGTTTTGGTTTCACATTTGAAGCCTTTTCAAAATGTACTTCTGGTAAAGTCTCTGATCTAATTTCTCTGCTTCGTTTCTCTGCAACTGAAGGACCATTAAAAGAATCTCGATTAGCAGCTAAATTATTAGCTTTCAGCACATCTGGATGAGCCACACTAGTTGTTTGGGAACTAGTAGCTGTTTCCAGGTTGGATAATCTCATCAAATCTACAGGTGAAGCAGCAACAGTTTTTGACTCCTTTTTAGCAGATACAAAGGTCTCCTGCTGGCTTGAGCCTGCTTCGTTAAATCGGACAATATGCACACTAGACTGCTTCAACTCTTCATGGAACACGGGTTGTTCCGTACCGACAAAATCTTGCTCTGGAGAACTATTTTGTCCTCTTTTGCCAATATTTATTTGAGGCTCTGACAAGTCAACAGTATTAAGAGGTCTTTCTAGTCTTAGTGCACTCATCTTATTAAGCCTTGAAATGTTGTCTGAATCCAACTCTTTTAGGGAGCCTCCGATTCCAACTAAATTTGGTTGGGATTTTGATGCTCGAGTTCTTGTAAGAGATCTTCTCCCCTTCTTCTGATGTATGCAATCAGTTCAATATTTTCCAAGTTTTATGTAAACAAAAGAAATAAGGTTATCAGCTTAAGAAGTCCAACATGACGAATTTCACCCTATAATAAGCTGGAGAGTAGAAGTACCTGAGTAAGACCAGTTTCAAAGGCACTTATCATTTTCCTGACACTGCTAGGAGTTTTCTCCAATACACCTTGATCGTCAGGTTCATTAGACAAATCAACAATATTCTTTTGGGAAACAGACTCTTTCTTGGCAGCAACATCCACCTTCAACATTGACTGAGTGTCTTGATCCTCAGAATCAACATTCCTTTTTTGGGATATGGACTCTTTCTTTACAGCAACATCCATCTTCAGCATAGACCGCCCACTTTGATCCTCAGATTTATTAGATGGATCAGATAAAATCTTCTGTTGGGACACAGACTGTTTCTTTCCAGTTACATCCATCTTCAAGGTGGACTGTACATCTTGATCATAAACAGGTTTTACAGAAGCAGAATCATTCTGTATTAGCTGAGTCTGAAGCTTCTCAGCTGATGGACGGTCAGGTTCAGAATATCGTTTTTCAACCCCTTCTTTTACAGGTGAAGATGAGTTTACTTCACTTCTATCTGTGGCCATTCTAAACAGGCAGATTTGCTATCAAAACTCTTAGCAATTTACTCAGTTATAAATCATTAGATAAAAAAAAAAAATTTGACCTCATCAACCTACTAAACATTCTCTATGTAGAAGCTGTAATTCGCTAAATAAAATTCTCCTACTTTTGAATTACTATAATAAACTAAGGTAAAATCGAATAACTAAAAGGTCACCCAAAAATCTTTTCCAAAAATTACATAGTCCTAAATTTGTTCCTATGTCTTTCTCCCATTAATATAGTTCTTAGAATGTGTGATCAAACCTGAAAACTCCCTTGTGATGGGCAGCGACAATGCAAATGTATCTCGCATAGGGACTGCAGTTCCTTTGTATTTAACAATTGTCACAGGAACTTTGTCTTGTTTCTTCTTCAAAGCAGATTCTCTCTACCAAATCAATCGAAATATCATTACACATAAGCTGATAGAATCGTCAAGGCTAATAAAAATTGAAAGCATAGCAAAAAGGAAAAAAAACTTTTAAGGACTTGTAAAATCATTTTAGTAACTCAGAGTGGGAACATGTTTGAGGTTAATAAAACTTAGTAAAGAACAGTATAATATTACCACATTACGGATTAGGTTGCGCTCATCTTCACTTAGACTGAATTGCAACTTCATATGGACATAATGACCTCCTTCAAGTTGGAAAACATCATCCCAACAACCCTTCTCAACAATTGATAAGGTCTCAACTTCTGTCAAATACAAACTTTTTTGTCACCATTAGCATCAAGCATGGAGCACAAATATGATATATATATATATATACCTTTACGCGATATCTCATTTCCTTCAACATCCTCAAGTCTAACAACCAAATTATCACGAAATGTGGTTAACGGACTGCAAAAGAAGAATCAAATTTCCCAAATTAATTTAATCATGTTTTGTGCTGAAACCATAAAGATAAAGAGGTGATAGAATCATTACAAGGAGAAATCTCCCTTGTCCCACGTTTGGTACGTTCGCTTCCCCATGGAAACTACAAGAAAGCATAAGAAACTCCAAATCAATTCGAAATGTAAATATACAACACTAAAAAAAAGAAAAAGAGGAAAATACTAACCCCATAAGCAAATTGAAGAAGATGAAATATTCTTGAAATCAAACACTGTGTAACACCAAACTGAGTTAAAAATAAAATAAAAAATCATTTCATCAAATATTAAAAGAGGGAAGCATTTAGTACCTGAAACTTGGATTGTTCCTGGCATTTGGGAGAATTTGATATGTTCCACCAAAAAAAATATTATCCCTTCAAGTCAAGTGTACAACATAATTCAGGGGATATTTTCTTCTCTTTTTTTTGTTTGATTGTAAGTGAGAGTGTAACCTTGGAAGTATGACTTGTGTTGTCTTGGATGGAAGAGAAATTTTGGTTGGTCATCAGAATGCAGATGTGGATGAGCTAAGAAAGATGATTGGGTCCATTAAACACCTCAAAGGCTATGAGTGTGTGAAACAAAAAGATATTTTGTTGGGCAAATTATGCAAGATATAGATCAGAATATTTAATCATTTTTTGGGTTGAATTTATAAAAAATACCTAAAATGGTCATTCAACCATATTTTTTGAGAAAATAGTTGAATGATTTTCTAATTTATTATCGAATTTTTGACTACACACTTATGCTAAATGAGAATTATTACCTCTAGACTATTTTAAAGTAAAATTAATTCCACCCTAAAACGTCATCACCAATCAAGTATCTTGTGGTGAAGCACACACGCTTGACACATGTATTTCACCAATTAATCTTTTTTTTTAAAAGAAAAATCTCCTCCTTCTTCCTTTCCTCCTCAATCAGTTTTTCAATCACAACCATTGTAAAACATCATTTTTTACCTCAAAAAAATTGTATATGTCTAACAAATCAAAATCAAACCTAATGGCAATGACCTTACACCTCAAAACCAATATTTAAATAAAAAATAACATCATTTTTACACTATTCCTACAACTCAACAAAGGTTTGAACAAATCCAAAAATGGCAATGACCTTACATCTCCCACCCTCACCCCCTCTTGTACATAAACCTTTTAGTAGGCAAAAAAAAAAATTTGTAACATCAATTTGAAAAATTCTTTTCCCTTCTTTATTCTTTTTCTCTCTAATTTTTTCATGAATAATTTATTAATCTGAGTTTTTTTCTTTTGATTCTTAATGGGTTTTTAGGATAAAATAGAGGATCCTTCTTTAGAAAATGTAGAAAAAATTATTTTCGTTTTAGTTCCTTTTAATAAGTTCAAAATTACTTTTCTTTGTTATTGTTGTTGTTGTTATTGTTGTTGTTGTTGCTCTTGAGTCAGTGACTTGAAAAGAGAAGAACTTAATGAACATGCTTTTAAAAATGAGTTTAATACGTTAGATGTATTCTAAATAAGTTTATTGAAGAATTATTTGTTCATAAAATGCATTAATTATGATAATCTTTATGTCATACCTTCATTGATTAAGCTTCAACAATGATAATGGTGGAGGATGTATATTTGTATAGATAAATAATAGGAAAGAAAGAGAAATAAAAAGAAAAAAATTGGTAACTCACTCTCTCAAAGAAAGTGAAATGCCCTCTTTATGTCAACTCAGCTCTTAAGGGGTTATTTATTACAATTTAAAGTAGTTCAAGGGGTGGGGTAATAGGAATCTCATAGAGTATAAGTGTGTAGTAAAAAATACGATAATAGGTTGGGGGATCATTTGACTATTTTCTCTATTTTTTTCATAAAAAATAGCCAATCAATATTTCTTTCTTTCTTCTACTTCTTCGTCCTTTTTCTTCCGTGTCTTCCTCATCTTCGTCCTCCTCCTCCTTCTTTTACATCTTTTTTTCTTTTATATCCTTCTTCGTCTCCATCTTCTACCTCTTCTTCATTATTTTTTTCTTTTTCTTTAAAATTTCACGTACCGCAAGCGTGAATCACTTCAAGTATTTGCAACAACTTACTAAGATATGGTGCAAGATTAGTGTACCTTATTGTTCCTGTAACACCTTGGATTTGAAAAGAAGTAAAAATTTACAGTTTCTAAAGATTTGGTGCCAGTTCTGACGGTCCGTAGGTTGGACCATGGACCGTAGTGGACCTGTGGTTTGCAAGATCAAAAGTGCAGAAAATGTCTAGTCCCAATACTCTTTTACGGTTCACCAAGACGGTCTGTCATTCAATGTATGAGTCGTAGGTAGGTCTCGTAGGTGAGTCACAGACTTAGTGTAATTTTGAGGGCCAAAAGTGGGACTTACGGTGGCCATGTATGGACCGTAGGTTGATCGACGGGCCATACATGGGTCCCATTATTCGAAGGCCCAGAAAAAAATTTCTGAAACCATCGACGGTCAACTCAAACGGTCCATAGTTGGACCTAAAGACCGTGGGTCCAATCGTCGATGGGGTCCGACCGTTATTTTAGAAGGGGCTTTGGGTCTTTTTGTAATTGTTTTAACCCAATACTATGTCATTTTGCCCTCTACCCTAAGCCCTATATAATGATTTCAAACCCCCAAATCACCCAATTCAATTCATTCTCTTAAAATTCCAAAAGTTGATCAAGTTCATCCTCTCAAATTTTCCTCTCTATAAGGAAGAAGATGAAGTCCATGGTTTCAAGATCAAGTCTCCAAATCCATCATTAATTGCAAGCTTTTGGCATCAAGATATGATAGTCTTCACCTATGGAGCTCTTTCCTCTATAGGGTTCCTAAATTCTACAATTTTGTAAAGGTAGATTCCCCAATCAAACTAGAGTTTATTCAATTGCCATGGGTTCCTTTATGAAACACCTCGGATTAGAGAAAGGCTAGAAAGGAGTAAAGAAGGGCAGGTCAAGAACCTAGATGTGGACCATGGAACACTCCATGGAGCCTCTAGACGAGTCGTGTAGGGGACCACGATCCGTTTGGGCGATCGTAAGGGGTTCCTAAGGTTGCTCAGATGAGTGTCCCTCCCATGGATGCTTAGACGGCCCATGCTGAGGTTGACGGGCTGTTCAAGAGCTTGTCAAGTCGCCACTTAGAAGGGGTTTTCTCCCTGAAATGACCCAAAAGGTTCTTAAAAATGTGCTTCGGAAGTTATCGGAAACTTGTTTAGCTATATCAAAAAAATCCATTTCGTTTTTCGAAAATCCGACTTCATATTCTTGTTTAGGGGGTCAAATTGAGTGGGAAATGGGTCTAACCCAAATTTTAGAGCAACCGTATCAAAATCCGAAATTTCCAAGTGAAGCCTTTTTCGAGGGTCTACTTTGGAGGGTCATATCTCCTAGCACACAAATAATTGGGTGGCCCATAATTTATCCATGGAAATACCTTGGAGTTAGCTACCTAACGCACTTCGTTTCACCTCATTCGGAGTTCGGACGAAGAAGTTATGCCCATTTTCGTAAAATCTGTCCGGCAGGAAATGCAATTTTCAGTGAGCGTTTTTACTGTTCACCCGCCTCATTTTTTTTTCTAAGTGTTGGACCATTTTTCCAAAGGGCATATGTTATTTCCTATATACCATTAGTTCAATTCCCATCTCTAAAACATTTCCCAAAACACCTCTCCCATACTTAGACACATTTTCTCTCAAGTTCTCTCAAGAACCCTAATCCAAAACCTTCCTCAAGATTGAAGAGACTCTTGCTCCAAGTTCCAAGCTTCCATTGAAGACACTCTCAAGACCTTCATAAGAACTCAAGGTATGTGGTGTTGAACTCATGGGCCCTTCCACCCATAGTCCCTAGACTCTATTCTACTCACTAATTCATGGTTTAAGTTAAGATTCATAAATTAGTCTTGTTCTTTGTAATAATTTCCTGCACATTGAATTTTAAACATGAAAAGTGATTGTTTTGAGCATGTTGTGACTCTAGAACTTGAATCTAAATTTGGAATGGATGTGGAGATTTTCATGTGGTATTGTGGTTGTTAAAAGGTGTTGTTGTAGGTTGTTCACTGGTTTGGCTGCATAATTACTACCCTATTTTCCATGCTCTTTAATTCCATTACATGCCTTCAAGGTGTTTGACAAAATGTCCAACTATGGAGAATTGATGAATCGATGCTTTAAAGCTTGAGTTATGAGATGTATGACAATCCAGAGATGTGTTGATGACAAACTAAGCTTGTGTATATGTTCATTCCATACGTGAGATTGCATTAGAGCCAAATGGGAATTTCCTATATAAAGTGTTGCATGACCATGCCCGGTCCGGGGGGAAAAGAACCGGACAACCATGTGAGAGGTTTATATCTCACCACCTAGGATGCTTGGGGTGTGACCAACATCAACCATGTGAGAGGTTTATATCTCACCACCTAGGATGCTTGGGGTGTGACCAACATCAACCATGTGAGGGGTTTATACCTTGCCACCAGGGTGTCCGGGTGTGAACGGCATCCCCCATCCTAAGTTGAGGTTATAGATTGGTTGGATCATGCATACACATATGATATCTACTATTAGTACAGATTTACTTAAACATGTTTTGACTTCACTTTGATCATGCATCCTCATATTGTTATTCATAATGCCTATGAAACTATTTCTTGTATTTCGATTGTGTCCTTGTCTATTGTTGTGTTGCACCCCGCATACTTAGTACATTCCAAGTACTAATGCATATTTTGCCTACATGATGTCACCATGTAGGGACCGGAGCTACTCTTGATTCTTCTCTCCATTCACGTGGCTAGTACGGTGCTTATCCGAGTTTGTTGGTGAGTCCTCAATGATTCGAGGGCTATGTTATGTTTCCTACTCCTATGTTTTGAGACTTTAGCTTGCAATTGTATTTTGACTATGAGGGGAGCCGGTAGTATGTCATGACCCCCGTCCTATCTATGTATGTAGAGGTGTGCGTTGGACAAGTATTTTGTAAATGAGCTTGACTCTTGTTCTATGATGTCATTTTGAAATGGTTTGCCCTTAGTCCCTATTTCCCGTTAATTAATGTTGATTGTACTTCCGCGACCGATGAAGTGTGATGACAAGTTTGAGAGGCTTGTTTGGGGTTTCTTCGGGTTCCTCATTCGCCATGTCACGTCTAGGCCCTAGGCTTGGGTCGTGACACTCCCTTAGCCACCGGTCAAGGACCACAGACGGCTAAACGGCCCGTGAAGCCCCACATGGATCGTGAAGTCGCCTGTGTAGGGTGTAGAGTGGAGCTTGTCAAGCAGAGCTTATTCACAACATGTTAGACGGGACGTGAAGGCCTCTGTGGAGTCAGTGTGTCATCTTTAAGTTAGGGGTTTTTGAGTCTTTTCCTAATTATTTTATTTCAGTACTACGTCGTTTGACCTTCTACCCAAAGCCCTATATAAGGATTTT